AGTGAGGGAGGCAGAAAAAAAAGCCTGTCTTTAGAAGCATGAGTCAGAGACAAAGAAGTCTCAAGCATTTGAACTGGTAAGGTCTAGAAGGGAAGCTGGGTCTAAGAAAGTAAAGTTCTTAGGGGAGAGGTGTTTTTTTTTTGTTTGTTTGTTTGTTTAAGATTAATTTATTATTTATACAGTTTTCTGCCTGCATGTACACCTGCACACCAGAAGAGGGCACTGGATCTCATTATAGATGGTTGTGAGCCACCCAGCGGTTGTTGGGAATTGAAAGAAGGACCTCTGGAAGAGCAGCCAGTGCTCTTAACCTCAGAGCCATCTCTCCAGCCCTAGGGAGAGGTTTTGAGATTAAAGAAGATTATTTGCTATGTTGAAAATGGAGAAGCGGGGTGGTGGTGGCTCATGTTTTTAATCCTAGCACTTGGTAGGCAAAGGCAGGCAGATCTCTGAGTTCAAGGACAGCCTAGTCTGCAAAGTGAGTTCCAGGACAGCTGGGACTACACAGAGAAACCCTGTTTCAAGAAAAGAAAAAAGAAAAGAAAGAAAGAAGGAAATGGAGGAAGACACAGTGAACAGTGCTTCTGGATCCCATTTGAGTTTATTTCTCTTAGCGTACAAATAATTTTTTTCAGTGACAATTTCAGTTTTGTATATCCTCCTTGTGAAAGATCAGAATAAGACAGACTTAGAGAAAGAAGAGCCTAAGAAATTAGTGTTATGTTGTACAGGCAATTCAACTGACCTACCCTCAGGGGTCTTTTGGGTCCTGACAATGTCCTATGTCACCACCTGTGTCCTATGGCTTCACCTGGGCCAGGTGCTCCAGATATAACCCATCTGCCACTCCCACCCACTCTTTCTCTCTGCTTGAGTTTCTTTCCCCCCTCCCCGCCCTCTGACTTTTCTCTGGGGCAGGGGTGCTGTGCTCCTCTTTCTCTTCTCCTCTAACTCCTCTCCCATTTCCTTCCCCCAAATAAATCTCTTCATATCCAGATCTGTTGAGTATGTGGCATTTTAAAATATATCCTAACAATTAGATACTAAATTAAAGCCATAGAGCAGAGGTTGGAGGAATCTTTGAATCAAAATAGGGAACCTTCATATAAATCCAAGCTGGAACTTACAGTAACACCAAAAGAGGTAGTTTCAGATGAGAAAAGTCCATAAAGGCTTGAAGAAACTCTAGAATGGCAGCCCATTGGGATAGAAAGGCTTCAGCTATAGGCCAAAATGGTCAGACTAGATATTGTGTGTGTGCGCGTGTGTATTGTCAAGGTTCAATCACTGGATGAAGGTCTAATATGCTAAAGTGGAAATGCAGATCCTATTTGGTGTTGCTTTGGAACAAGGTCATACAGTGGCTTTTGTGCTCCATTTGCATAGTTTGGAGAACTGAAATACATGCAGCACACCATAGATTCGGATTTAGAATTACAATAGGCCTTAAATTCTAGAGAGCATGATTCTAAGGTTACACATTTGTAGAGTTAGTTACTGTCTTGGAGATGCCTTTGCAAATTGGGGCTGATGGTGCTTCAACATGTATCTCTGTTGGAATACTACATAATTTTAGACATTATTACAGGAAACCTGTTACAGATATAATGTATACTCCTATAGGTCAAACACTTATTAAAAAGATCTAACAATAAATTTTAAAGGGTGGTCACAAACAGAAGGGGGGTGCGGATGTGTAGCACATGGTTTTAATCCCAGCACTCGGGAGGCAGAATCAGGAAGATCTCTGCGAGTCTGAGGCCAGCCTGGTCTACAAAGTGAGTCCAGGACAGCCAGGGTTATACAAAGAAACCCTGTCTCAAAGAACCAAAACAAACAAATGAAAAACAGAAGGGGAATATAATTTCACCCCCCAAATAGATTAAATAATGATATATTGATTTCAAAATTAAATGAGACAAGTAGCACACCTGCTAAGATACACTGGATTTTAGAAAGGACTGCTGAATTAGATCAGCATATGAAGGTGCTAATTCCAAAACAGAAGACAGAAAATGTTTTGTTTTGGGGAGGAGAATATGCTCTTGTTTCAACAGGAAACAAAAAGCTATGTAGTCTGTCCAAATTGATAAAAATCAGATTTGACAAAGAGAGAACTCCTGAAGATCTTGGCTGCAAACAAAAGGAAAGAAATCGAGAAGACCAAACAGGACAGCTAACATGATTTGGTGATTCCTCCACATGGGAACATCTCTGAGACTGACTGAGACATGAAAATCTCTCCAGCCAGGACTTCAGCTATGCACGGCCAAGCAATCTTTGGCAACAAAATCCCCAAGACTTATCATGCCATTCTTAAGTAACAGATAAAATTTTATTTTACAGAGAGTCATCTTTAATTGAGCTGTGCTCAATGCATAGTCAATGCATATATTAGTACAAAATGTATAATGCTGTTGAAAGTTTATATATTTTACAGAGCAAGAGGATCAGACACCAAAAAAGACAAGACAATTAGCCCAGGTAATCCTACTTCACAATAACCGTTTCCTCAAAAATCTGCATCTGGGAGAATTTCAAAATGGCTGTCTAGATCATCCAGCATCACAGACTGTTTTAGTCAGGACTTCAATTACGCTCTGAATTTCCTCAGCACGCAGAGACTGGAAAGCAAAAGTTACAGCTAGCTTTCTTACGACTGGACAGTATACCAGTCTTCTTGGGCCTGCAATAAGAAAAACTAGGTCCCAAATCAGCAAGAAGCAGTTTAAGAAAACTATACTCCATTCCCAAGACAGGGTGGATGGATTTTGGTCATTCTATAGGTGATAGATGTTTGTTATTGTTTTAAAAGGGTTGGTTATAGGAGTTATAAATAAAAGATTGTTGAATTTACTTTTAGACCAAAGAGCATAAAAAAGCCAAAAATATTACATTGATATAGATCTTTGTATATAAATATAGATTTAAGGACTGGAGAGATGGCTCAGAGGTTAAGAGCAGTGATTGCTCTTCCAGGGGTCCTGATTTCAATACCCAACAACCACATGGTGGCTCACAACCATCTATAATGAGATCTGGTGCCCTATTGCAGACAGAACATTGTATGCATAATAAATAAATCTTTTTTAAAAACCTCCAGATTTAAGATTATATTTGGTTACAACATGCTAGGTATTGTACCTATGTAATTCTTAAAATTGCAACGTTAAATTCTAGTCTTCTTGAAAGCTGCTATTACCAACTATTTAATTTTTTTTAAGAATTAAAAAAAGATTTACTTATGTATACAGTGTTCTGCCTGCATGTACACCTGCATGGCAGAAGAGGGCACCAGATCTCATAGATGGTTATAAGATGCCATGTGGTTGCTGGGAATTGAACTCAGATCCTTTGGAAGAGCAGCTAGTGCTCTTAACCTCTGAGCCACCTCTCCAGCCCCTGTTTTGGATATTAAGAAATGCATATTATTAGAGGTTCTAAGTTCAATTCCCAGCCACCACATGGTGGCTCACAACCATCTATAATGAGATCTAGTGCCCTCTTCTGGTGTGCATGAAAACAGAGCATTCATATCCATAAAGTAAATAAGTATATATTTTAAAAATGCATATTAGCAGGCAGACAATCAAACTTATGGTCATATTAGATACTAGTTTAGTTAATTACAAAAATGTTTCCTAGATTGACAGATAAAAAAAAATAGCTAGAAACAAACAATTCAGATAAGATAGTCTTCAAAACCTCAGAGCGCTACAGAATATGGCATTTTAAGATTTTATTAACTTTAGGCTTTTTTGACATCAGACAGGTCTGCTCCTGGCAGCACCGCCATTCCACTTCAAAGAGTATCGAGGCTTCATATGTGGCAAGCCAGCTACTGGGTGAGAAAATGCCCTTGTGTCAATTACAGTGAAAGACCCCATATCACCCTGAGATAAACAGAGTAAAACATAGCTAACGCCATTTTGTGGTGTACCACAGTTCTGGGAAAAATAGTAAAGGCCGGATGGGAACTAAAAATTACTCTGAGAAATCCAGCTAAGTCACCCCCTCAAGATATCTGCGGTCAAGGCTGCCCCAACTGAGCCAAAAACAACTTGTCCTGACCACCCTCATGGGATATCTGACAGGTGGTCCGGCTGAGATAGGAGTCCTGGGAAAAGCAACATATGGCGGCACTAGTCAAGGTCATCATAATTGTTTTGACCACCCAGGTCCTGGAATTCTGGTGTCCCTGCCAACCCTGATTCATGTTATGGTTTCATGTGAAAGAGCCAATCAGCTCCCTGTAACTATGCTTCTCGCTTCTGTATCAGTGCTTCTGCTCTAACCCTATAAAAAAACCCAGCTTTCCACCCGGAAAGGCGCGCAAAGTCATCTGAGTGGCTTTCCGCCCGGGTACCCATGTATCCAATAAAGCCTCTTGCTGTTTGCATCCGAACGCTTGGACTCGCTGTTCCTTGGGAGGGGGTCTCTCAGACGAAAGATACCCTCTGGGGGTCTTTCATGTGGGGGCTCGTCCGGGATTTGAGACCCCCACCCAGGGACCACCGACCCACCCTCGGGAGGTAAGCTGGCCAGCCGTCTTTTCTGTTGTGTGTATCTGTCATTTTGTCGTGCATTTCTGTGTCTGTTTAGTGTGCAATCTGAGACTTGATCAGGTCATCTGAATCAGGCGGAAATCAGAAGGAGCTGACGGACTTGGTCTTCTCTTCCGCAACCTTTGGGAGACGTCCCAGAGGTGTCTGAGAGAGTTTGGGTGGGTTCAAGTCCCACCGACTCTCATCTGAGTGGGGGCCAGCTTGGCTCCCCGTCTGACTGGAAGTACGAGCCGACTCGGGCTTTTTGGGGCTTCGCCCCTGACCAAAGGCTACGTGCTCCATTTGGGAGACAGAGAAACCGGATCTCCAACACAGTCTCCATCTGAATTTTTGCTTTCAGTTTTGCGCCGATCTCGTGCCGAGCGGCTTGTGTTGTGTTTTGTCTGTCTAATTTTTGTTATAAGTATAGTAAGTGTTTTCTATCTAGCTGAAAACATGGGACAAACTGTCACCACCCCCAAAAGTTTAACTTTACAGCATTTCAAGGAAGTCCGTGATATCGCCCACAACCTCTCGGTGGATGTGCAAAAAGGGAAATGGGACACCTTCTGTTCATCGGAGTGGCCCACCTTTGACGTGGGCTGGCCATGAGATGGCACTTTTAACTTAGAAGTTATTTTACAGGTTAAAGTCAAAGTCATGGATCTTGGACCCCATGGACATCCTGACCAAATTCCCTATATCATCACATGGGAATCTCTGGTCAAGAATCCCCCACCATGGGTAAAACCTTTCCTTCCCCCTCGGCCGAGGTCCACCCCGTCCGCCCCTTTTCTTTCTCCTCCACTAGTTCCAGCCCCGGCTAACTCTACACTTTTTCCGGTTCGTATGAAGTCGGATCCAAAGGAGACCTCTGGGCAAAAGAAGACACCCCCAGTGCTGCCGGCAGATGATGGCCCCCTTCTGGACCTCCTAACTGAACAACCTCCTCCATACGGGAACCCGGACCCTGTACCTGTGGAGGAACCGGAGGGGGCGGCTGCAAGACGGGAACCCCAAGAAGAACCCCCCTCGTCCCCGGTAGCAGGGCGACTGAGGGGACGTCGGGAAATAACTCCTGATCCTTCCTCTCAGGCATTTCCGTTGCGGATGGGGCCAGACCGCCAACTCCAATACTGGCCCTTCTCCGCGTCTGACCTATATAATTGGAAAAATAACAATCCCCCTTTTTCAAAGGACCCTTCTAGGTTAACAGCCCTTATCGAGTCCATTCTAGTGACCCACCAGCCTACCTGGGATGATTGCCAGCAGCTGCTTCAGGCGCTGCTGACCACAGAGGAGAAACAGCGAGTCATCTTAGAGGCCCGCAAAAATGTTCCAGGAGATGACGGACAGCCTACCCAACTACCCGTCCGGATTGACGCTGCCGTCCCCTTGGAACGACCCAATTGGGATTTCTCCACCGAACGCGGTAGGGAACACCTACGTCTCTACCGCCAGTTGCTTATAGCGGGTCTCCGTGGGGCTGCAAGGCGCCCTACCAATTTGGCCCAGGTTAAGTTGGTGACTCAAACATCTGAGGAGTCCCCTTCTGCTTTCTTAGAGCGACTTAAAGAGGCATACCGTATGTACACTCCCTATGATCCAGAGAGCCCAGATCAGGCGACTAACGTGGCCATGTCCTTCATCTGGCAATCTGCCCCAGATATCAGAAGGAAGTTAGAGAGACTAGAAAACTTAAGAGAGTGTTCAGTGCAGGATTTGCTGAAGGAGGCAGAACGGATTTTTAACAAGAGAGAAACACAGGAAGAGAGAGATGAGAGACTGAAGAAAGAAGCAGAGGAGAGAGAGAATGTGAGAGAACGTAAGAGAAACAGGGAATTCAGTAAGTTGTTGGCCACCGTAGTGACAGGTAAGAGGCAGAATAGACAGGACCTGGGAGGTCGAAGAAACTTCCCACTGGATAAAGATCAATGTGCTTACTGTAAAGAAAAAGGTCATTGGGTCCAAAACTGTCCGAAAAAGCCAAAGGGGCCACGCAAACTCCGGCCTCAAACTACCCTACTCAATCTCGAGGATTAGGGAGGTCGGGGTCAGGAGCCCCCCCCTGAACCCAGGATAACCCTTAACGTGGGGGGCCAACCCGTCACCTTCTTGGTGGACACCGGAGCTCAACACTCAGTGCTCACCACGTCTCCAGGACCCCTGTCTGATAAGTCAGCATGGGTTCAGGGAGCTACTGGAGGGAAGAAGTGCCGCTGGACCACCGAAAGAAAGGTACTGCTTGCTACTGGTAAGGTGACCCATTCCTTTCTGCATGTACCTGATTGCCCTTACCCTTTGCTTGGAAGAGACCTATTAATGAAGCTTAAAGCGCAGATTCATTTTGAAGGGACTAAAGCCCATATTACGGGGCCACAGGGACAACCATTACATGTCTTGACCATTAACCTGGAGGATGAATATCGGTTACATGAGCCTGAGAGGCCCCCTGAGGGGCCTCCGGCTGAGGACATATCTGACTGGTTGGACAACTTCCCATCTGCCTGGGCAGAAACAGGGGGAATGGGATTGCCTACCCAACAGCCACCTCTAATTATACCCCTCAAAGCGACCGCAACTCCGGTCTCCATCAGACAATACCCTATGTCTCGAGAGGCCTACCAAGGAATCCGGCCCCACATAAAGAGGCTCTTGGAACAGGGAATCTTGACCCCTTGCCAGTCTCCCTGGAATACTCCCCTCTTTCTGGTCAAAAAGCCAGGCACAGGCGATTATCGCCCCGTTCAGGACCTAAGAGAGGTCAATAAGAGGGTAGAGGATATACACCCAACAGTCCCTAATCCATACAGTTTGCTGACCGGATTACCACCGGCCTATATTTGGTATACAGTCCTGGACCTCAAGGATGCATTCTTTTGCCTAAGGCTCCATCCTCAGAGCCAGTCCATTTTTGCCTTTGAATGGAAGGACCCAGAGTTGGGGTTATCAGGACAACTCACTTGGACTAGGCTCCCCCAAGGGTTCAAGAATAGCCCTACCCTGTTTGACGAGGCATTACATCGAGACCTGGCTAACTTTAGGGTATTACACCCAGCCCTAATCTTGCTCCAATACGTGGATGATCTCCTCCTGGCTGCAAGAACTGAAGAACAATGTAGGGAAGGAACAAAGGCCCTCTTGAGGGCTTTGGGAACTCTGGGATATAGGGCCTCAGCTAAAAAGGCCCAAATATGTCAGAGGCAAGTCACCTACTTAGGCTATCAGATCAGGGATGGTCAAAGATGGCTGACAAGAGCACGAAAACAAACAATCCTGAATATTCCAGTGCCTAAAAGCCCAAAGCAGTTAAGGGAGTTCTTGGGAACGGCAGGGTTCTGCCGGCTCTGGATTCCAGGATTTGCCGAAATGGCTGCACCGCTCTACCCACTCACCAAACCAGGTACCCTTTTCACCTGGGGGAATGAGCAACAAACGGCCTTCACAGCTATTAAAGAGGCCTTAATAACCTCCCCCGCATTGGGGCTTCCCGACTTAAATAAGCCCTTTGAGCTATTTGTTGATGAGAAACAAGGCTATGCAAAAGGAGTCCTGACTCAAAGACTGGGACCATGGAGGCACCTGATTGCCTACCTGTCCAAGAAACTTGACCCGGTGGCTTCAGGGTGGCCTCCCTGTTTGAGGATGGTCGCGGCAATTGCCCTCCTAACCACAGACTCAAGTAAGCTAACAATGGGGCAACCGATAACAATTTTGGCTCCTCATTCAGTGGAAGCCCTGGTCAAACAACCTCCGGGCCAATGGCTTTCAAATGCCCGCATGACCCACTATCAGTCCCTACTACTAGACACTGATCGCGTACGTTTTGGCTCTGTGGTAACACTCAATCCAGCATCACTACTTCCCCTACCGGAGAGTCCAGAAACTCATGACTGTCTCCAGATACTTGCAGAGGTACATGGCACCCGGCCTGATTTGACCGATCAGCCCCTCCCTGACGCCGACTTCACCTGGTACACAGACGGGAGCAGTTTTTTAGACAACGGAGAACGAAGAGCAGGGGCTGCGGTCACCACTGAGACTAAGGTAATTTGGGCTAGAGCCTTACCACCTGGTACCTCGGCACAGCGGGCTGAACTCATCGCCCTGACTCAAGCCCTCCAGATGGCAGAAGGTAAGAAGCTTAACGTCTATACCGATAGCCGCTATGCCTTTGCCACGGCCCATATTCATGGGGAAATATACCGAAGAAGGGAACTGTTGACCTCGGAGGGAAAAGAAATTAAAAACAAGGCTGAAATACTAGCCTTGCTCGAGGCGTTGTTCCTACCCTTAAAGTTGAGCATCATTCACTGTCCGGGCCACCAAAAAGGGAACAGCCCTGAGGCTCGAGGTAACCGCCTGGCAGATGAAACTGCCCGCAGGGTGGCTCAACAGGAGAGCCCTACTGTTTCTCAAGTCCTGACAATAGAGGAAACAATCATAGACTCCCCTACACGAGATCAAGGGCCTGTTTTTCAATATAGCCAGGAAGACCAAAACCTACTAAAAGAAATGGGGGCTACCTACCACCCTAAGACGCAGAGATGGACATTAGAGGGAAAACTAGTGTGGCCCCAACGTCTGACCTATTACTTGGTTGATCATCTCCATAAACTGACCCACCTGAGTTACAGAAAGATGAAAGCCCTTCTTGAAAAAGAAGAAAACACCTACCATCTGCTGGGGAAAGACAAGATTCTACAGCAAGTGGCAGAAAGGTGCACCGTGTGTGCACAAGTAAATGCTGGACACAGTAAGGTGGGTCCTGGGGCCAGAGTTCGGGGACACCGACCCGGAACCCATTGGGAAGTTGATTTCACAGAAGTCAAGCCTGGACTATATGGATACCGGTATCTGCTGGTGTTCGTGGACACTTTCTCTGGATGGGTAGAAGCCTACCCTACCAAACATGAAACTGCCAGAGTTGTCACCAAAAAGCTTTTGGAAGAAATCTTCCCCAGGTATGGTATGCCACAGGCACTGGGCTCTGACAACGGCCCTGCATTCATCTCCCAGGTAAGTCAGTCGGTGGCCACACTACTGGGGATTAATTGGAAATTACACTGTGCTTATCGTCCCCAAAGCTCAGGACAGGTAGAACGAATGAATAGAACTATTAAGGAGACTTTAACTAAATTGACGCTTGCAACTGGCGTTAGGGATTGGGTGACCCTCCTCCCCTTAGCACTGTATCGGGCCTGAAATACACCTGGCCCTCATGGACTCACTCCTTTTGAAATCCTCTATGGTGCCCCACCGCCAGCTGCCCACTTCCTCGACCCTGACATAGCCTCTTTCTCTCGACCTTCTCTCCAAGCTCATTTACAGGCTCTGCAAATCGTACAACGGGAGGTCTGGAAACCACTGGCAGCTGCGTACCAAGAACAGCTAAATCAACCTGTGATACCCCACCAATTCCAGATCGGGGACGTGGTCTGGGTGCGACGACATCAGACCAAGAACCTAGAGCCGCGCTGGAAGGGACCCTACACTGTACTACTAACGACACCCACGGCCCTAAAGGTAGACGGCATCGCAGCCTGGGTCCACGCCTCCCACGTCAAGGCCGCCGATCCCGAACTCCTACCCGACCACCCGGAGTCGAAAGCCAGATGGAAACTTCACCGCACCCAAAATCCCTTAAAGATAAGATTGACTCGTGGGGAGCCCTAATAAGCTTGTGTCTAATTTTAAGTCTAGAAATAACTTATGCTTCCCCTCATCAGGTTTACAATTATACTTGGGTCATCGAAAACCAAGCTGGGGATATAGTCATGACAAGCTCCTCTATTGGGGCCCAGCCCCATTGGCCAGATTTAGAAGTGGATCTCTGTGCCCTTGCCCTTGGAGCAGATACCGACTGGGCAGTTCCTGATATTTTTTGGCCTCCACCTGGGGGCCGAGCGCCTGAACGGATAACCCCAGGACGGGCCACTGATCCAAGCTGCATCAATTCGGTTGGAAGGGCCCTTTTGCGGGGCCCTCCCGGCAGTGGGGTATGGGGTATTTATGTCTGTCCCGGTACACATCGGAATAGAACTCTCCATCATAAATGTGGGTGGACAGATCAATATTTTTGTGCCTCATGGGGATGTGAAACCTCAGGAGACACTCACTGGAAGCCCTCCTCCTCCTGGGACTATATTACAGTAAAAAGAAAGAATCCCACATCCGTCCCTCTTAATACACCTCTCCAACAAACCACGTTGGGGGTATGTAATCCCCAGGGCAAAACCAAAGGATGGTGCAATCCCCTGTTGATTCAATTTACTCCACAAGCCAAACACCAGATTTGGACTTCACAAGGATTTAGATGGGGCCTCCGGGTTTATAAAGATCGAAAGGACATAGGCCTCACCTTTCGGATCAGGCTTAAAAAGGCCTTACCTATTACTAGGTCTGTGGGCCCCAACCCGGTCTTGTCAGATCAGAAAAGACCCTCTCAGCCAAAACATCCATCCCTATGGCCCACGGCCCCAAATGCTTCTGTTTCTTCCCCTAGCCCGACTGTCATAGGCCCTACTATACAGCCTCCCCGGAGGCCTGGATCAGGAGATAGACTTCTAGATCTAATAACAGGAGCTTATCAGGTGCTAAACCACTCCAATCCCGATCAGACCCAAGAATGCTGGTTATGCCTAGTTTCAACTCCACCCTATTATGAAGGATTGGCCGTAATGGGTAACTTTTCTAACCATACAAGCCCTCCAGCGAGCTGCTACCCCTCTGCCCAACATAGATTGACTCTGTCTGAAGTGTCCGGGCAGGGGCTTTGTGTCGGAAAGATACCTGTGGCTTATCAGCAACTTTGTGATTCCACTGCCAATATTGATACCGGAAATTACTACCTGACTGGTCCCAATGGTACCTATTGGGCATGTAATACCGGCCCAACCCCCTGCATATCAGCTATAGGCTGGAATGCTGGTTCTGACTTTTGTGTCCTTATTGAATTATGGCCTAAGATAGTCTATCACAAACCGGGCTATATCTGCAGACACTTTGAAGAAAGAATTCGGTACCATAGGGAACCCGTGTCTTTAACCTTGGCAATAATGCTGGGAGGGCTAACAGTCGGAGGCATTGCCGCCGGAATTGGGACTGGGGCCACCGCCTTGACAGCAACCAATCAATTCCAACAGCTACAGCAGGCTATGCATACAGACTTACAGGCATTGGAAGAATCAGTAAGTGCCCTAGAGAAATCCTTAACCTCTCTGTCAGAAGTGGTCTTACAGAATCGAAGGGGGCTAGATATCCTCTTCTTACAAGAAGGGGGATTATGTGCAGCCTTAAGAGAAGAATGTTGTTTCTATGCCGACCATACTGGTTTAGTAAGAGATAATATGGCCAAGCTCAGAGAAAGACTTAGCCAGAGAGAGAAACTCTTCAAAGAGGGACAGAGTTGGTATGAAAGTTGGTTCAATAAAGCCCCCTGGTTCACCACCCTCGTTTCCTCCCTCATGGGTCCCCTGATCATAATTCTCTTGATTCTGTTATTCGGGCCTTGTATTCTAAATCGGCTGGTCCAGTTCATAAAAGATCGGCTCTCTGTCATACAAGCGTTGGTACTGACCCAACAGTATCATCAACTCTGACAGCGGGAAACAAAGTACTTGCCCCTAGGCCCTAGAATGAAAGATTCCATTCTAAGTTAGCAAAGAAATGGGGGAATGAAAGACCCCATATCACCCTGAGATAAACAGAGTTAAACATAGCTAATGCCATTTTGTGGTGTACCACAGTTCTGGGAAAAATAGTAAAGGCCGGATGGGAACTAAAAATTACTCTGAGAAATCCAGCTAAGTCACCCCCTCAAGATATCTGCGGTCAAGGCTGCCCCAACTGAGCCAAAAACAACTTGTCCTGACCACCCTCATGGGATATCTGACAGGTGGTCCGGCTGAGATAGGAGTCCTGGGAAAAGCAACATATGGCGGCACTAGTCAAGGTCGTCATAATTGTTTTGACCACCCAGTTCCTGGAATTCTGGTGTCCCTGCCAACCCTGATTCATGTTATGGTTTCATGTGAAAGAGCCAATCAGCTCCCTGTAACTATGCTTCTCGCTTCTGTATCAGTGCTTCTGCTCTAACCCTATAAAAAACCCAGCTTTCCACCCGGAAAGGCGCGCAAAGTCATCTGAGTGGCTTTCCGCCCGGGTACCCGTGTATCCAATAAAGCCTCTTGCTGTTTGCATCCGAACGCTTGGACTCGCTGTTCCTTGGGAGGGGGTCTCTCAGACGAAAGATACCCTCTGGGGGTCTTTCAACAGTACTGTCCAAAACTGGATAGACTTCTGCTGAGAGGTGACTGATGAGCTTTGCAAGGACAAGGTAGGCAAGTCCTTTATAATCCCTGCTTCACAGAAAAATCTGTTTGATATTCTGAGCCAGAAGGGTGAAGATGATGCTCCAATGTTATGGAAGAATTTTGGGGGATTTCCCAGGCAGCTAAATGTCTCTGTCATCTCTATACTTTTGGAAGCTGCTTGCTGCACTTCCTACATATTTAGGTAATATTTTTTCATTCTTAAGTCTCTGATGGGGTTGAAGAGTAGATAGTTATAATTTCACAGTTAAATTGTTTAGGATGATAGAAATTGATAGGTAATAAAATAATTTATTCAAGGGTGCCAAAAATACAAATGTAAATCTTACCTAATAATTTTCATAACTGTCATTATTACATATAGTTTGTTATTGTAAGAGAAAGCCTTTTATTAGGCTAAAGGGAGGTGTAGGCACAGGGTTATTATATAATTCAAATGTGGACTTCTGTCCCCTTCCCCCATAAGGGAGATGGATAAAGAAGAGGGCACTGGGCAAGGTAGCACATACCTGTAACAGCAACATTTGGGAGGTAGAAGCAGAGAAATCAGGAGTTCAAGGTCATCTCATCTACACAGTGATTTTTTGGACAGTTCGGGCTAAAGGAGACAATACATATAAAGAAAAGAAAAATTCCCACAACACACACAAAAGGAGAGAGGCAGAAGCTGAGAACAGTTAACAGTTACACTGTCACTAGTGTCTAAAAGGGTAATAGTAAATGAGAGGCATCTGGGGGCTGCAGAGGTAGCGCAGAGGTTGAAAGCACTCACTCAGTGCTTCCGTAAAAGACCAGTTCAAGTTCAGTTCCCAGCACCCACAGGACAGTTCACTATTGCCTGTAACTTCAGTTCCTGAGGCTCCAACACCCTCTTTAGGCCGCTGTGCGCACTGCTCGCATGTGGTGCACAGGCGCACATGCAGACATCACGCACACAAATAATAACGGCGTTTTTAAGATGAAAGGCGTCTTGGTAGGCCGCTGGAGTAACTAGTTCAGTGCGGGCAGACGGTCTCCTAAATAGTTCTATGAATGGAGGGAGGAGTCAAGAAGGCAGTAGACTTCTCGCCTGCGCGATTGGGTAGCTATACCTGTCACTGTCGACGAGAGTGGAGGTGGGACAAAAGGGGTCTCCTTTCTCCTCCCACCTGTGGTGGGATGGTGACGATTGGCTGTTTCGAGGAGCGCGCCAGAAACAGCGTCGGCAGGCAAGGGACACTTCCTGACGTCAGTTCCTCAGTTTTTCCGGGCTGCTGCGTCCGGCAACTTCAGCGCCGGAACTTCCTGCTGGTGCGGCCATCTTGGCTTCCTGACCTTGGGCTCCCGCTAGTGCTCGTCTCCGGTCGTTCCGCGCCGTCATGTCTGCCCTTACGCCGCTACTGCTGAAGGGCCTGACGGGCTCGGCCCGGCGGCTCGTGGTGCCGCGCGCTCAGATCCACTCGAAGCCGCCGCGGGAGCAGCTCGGGGTCGTGGTGAGCGGGACGGACAGGGCGCGCGCGGGGGTTGGGAACCTGCGGCTCTGGCCCGGGCGCCCTGTATGCTGGGCAGGGAGGGACAAGTTGTTCAGATGCGCCTAAGCCCAAATCCCTGGACCTCAGGTCAGCCCACCAGTCCCTGCGTGTTTGCTGATTCGCTGCTCAGCCTCTCCAAGCCCGTTTCCCTTTCCTTTTTTTTTTTTTTTTTTTTTTTTTTTTGCGGGGATTGCCTGGTAACTGGCAGCGACGCTGTGGTTGTAACCGCTGCTTTTTATTATTAAGGGGTTAAGGGGTGCAGAAGACCCATCGGGTCTTTGGGATTCCCAGAAATGTAAGGAGCATTTAGGTATGAGGACGATTTTCAGTTTTTAAACATTTATTTATTGAGATAGGGTCTTATGTAACCCATGCTGGCCTCGAACTTATAGTCATATTTGACCTTGAATTGATTGATGATCTTGTCTGCATCTCTTTACTGTTGGGATTGCAGGCATATGCCACCACTCTTTATGTGGTGCTGGGGATGAAACCCAGGATTTGTGTGTGTTGGGCAAGCACGCTTCAAAAGCTACACCTCACTCCAGGCCGCTTCCCGTTTATGGAGCTTTTCTGTTTTAAGCAACAGTGGATCCAGACAGCTGGGCATTGAATTAGGGATAGAACCAAAGAGTTGCCACTGAGGAATCAATGACAATCAAGTCATGTCCTTCTGTACTCCAATTTTCTGGGGCACTTAAGGCATAAAGATGGAGCTCAGGAATTCAGGCCCCCTTGGGCAACATGAGATCCCACCTCAAAAACGAACCTGGGAGCTGGAGAGGTGGCTCAGGACCCAAGGGCATTTGGTGCATAATCTCCTGAAGATTGGAGTTTGGGTCCCAGGACCCATGTAACAAGCCAGATGCTTGTAACTCTAGCTCCAAGGGATCTGACACCCTCTCCTGGCCTTTATGAAAACACATGAGCACATACCTGTGTTCACTCCTTCACATACACGCCACACAAATACAGATAAAACAGATCTTCTTAAAAGAGACAAAATAA